GTCATTTCATGTAATTCTGTTCAATGAATTGGATATTTGTGCGACAGGAATCCTCTTAATAAAGTATTACTACGCTGTATTTGTAACTACTGAATGATGAAAAGGGGAAGTGTTCATTTCTTGTGAATCAAACGGAAGCCCATCAAAATTCAATTAATACCGCGTACACATTAACAGATCCCGAGGTGAGTCGACTGCTTTTATGCTGTTTTATCTTAACCAACAGAAGATTAATACTGGTATATGAGACAATGATTATAACAAGTTACAACATCTAATAATAAGTATATCGATGAATATTTATATCGTAAACTCTTTCACCTGGTTTAATTAATGAGAACACTGTATTATAGTTTTGTTTTTGAAAGGGTGTAGAAACATGGTTCTGCTCGTTAAGAAAAATAGAATTGATTTATTAACAGAAACAATGTTAATACATATGACCATTGGTTCGCAACAATTTAAAAAATCAAAAAAAAATCCAGTACAACTTCTTCAAAACACATCACCTAGCAACAGGGAAATGAAATCGAATGTTTCTTTTCAGGACTATAAAGTACGAAAGTTTTGCGAGTAATTAATTTTAAAGAAACAAATGGCCATGAAATAATTTTGTCACACATTCACTATCAAATACACATTGCTTACACATTCTTGTGATTTCGTAATATTGGCGAGACTTTATTTGACTAATGAACCCAGCTATCGTTCTACTATATATGATGTAATGCATGACAAATATAGGATACTTTTGATGTGTAAACACTTCTATGCTGTACTTTGCTGACGCACCAAACGATAAATCCAAGTAGTCTTTCCCTCATCCTCGATATCCAGGGGTTACGCTCACTTTCGCTCTCTGCACCCCTGGAATATGTCATAGCAAAATTGAAGGCACAAAGATGTCTGTTTGACTGGTCTCAGGTAAAAAAACCCACCTTACCAATCGCTAGGCTGATACCTGTCCTTTGGGGATTACAAAGGAGAGACGCCCGACTTCAAAGCCTGTTAACTTTTACCTTTACGTGACCGCGAGATTCTTTTGATGTACATCAAAGGATCGAACTAGTTTTCTTGTCTCATCAACAAGGCGGCGCACACCGAGCCTTCAATGGATATCGAGGATGTCTCCCCTCGGGTCACGGCTTTTCCGCATTTTATTGAGGTCTACCAACCTTTTCAAAATCTCATTTCTGGATATCACAGATGAACTTTTGAACCGCTTCATATACATTTTGTTAATTCGTACAGCACAGTCATCTGATTTGATTAACAAATACAATATTTGAAACAAATGAGAGAAAACTAGTATTGTAAGGAGAACGACATGCATAGCACAACGCACGTGTATGCATTCCGACCACCATTTTGAAGGTCACTCGAAAAGTCGCATTCACTCGGAAACCTGTCTAACACTTTTCTTTTTATTGTGCGTCCTATGTTTGAGCGGTAAGCGGCCTTCCCCTCGATGACTCGGTGACGCAGTGTTCATGGTGTCCTCAGTATCTGTACTGTCCTCTCTCGCGTCATCAAGGTCGCGTTTATACTTGATATGTATACGGATTTTCATCCCCGGCGTCTGTTCGTACTGATCCGTCGTCTGATCCTCCTCGTTCTCATCGTCCTCCTCCCTGGCTTTTTCGTCAGTGTCTGGCTCCGCTTCATGGCCATGGAACCCCGGAATCTCCCCCTCCTCTGACGCCTCAGCCCCACCCTCGTAATCCGTTCTGTGGGTATTGCACGTTGAGTCTGCCTCCTCGATTACACTATGCTTACGGTTACCAGGAAAATTTGAACCGTTTCTTTTATTCCTTCTATTCCGAATCTCATTTTCCCGTAATACACGGTAATCTGAAATTGTCAGTTGCTGTTCGGCACCAGGACGCTTTTGGCCCTTGCCAGTGATTCTAGGTAGTTTGTCATACACATTGAGTTCTGGTTTCCGGTTCGTATGCTGCCATTGAGTCGTTTCGGGTGTGTTAGCACTTTGATTTTTATGGTTGATAATATTACTATATTGTTGATTGTCCTCAAAGTCCTTCGTGGGCGAGATATGCGTGGTGAGTTGTGTGGTCGTAACTAGAGTCGGGGGTGGATACCGGACCACGGATTCCGGCTCGTTGTGTTTTTGAACAGACGTGATTGCTAGCAAATCAGGCGCGGTGAGGTCCACTTCCTCTTTTGTTAAACCGTTCATTGGGGGAAGACGTTGGTTCTTTTTAAGAATATTCTGTCCTGACAGACAAGTAGAATTCACAAAATGAAGATGTTTTTTCAAGTCATAAATCCTACGATATCGTTTTTGGTATTCTATTTCATTATAAGCATGTTGTTTTCCAACTCTTTCTGGAGTGTCAAGCAGATCGTCAGACGATCGGCTGAATTTCCTGTCTTTGGTGTGTGAGTTTGTCTTTGACAACATAGAAGTCTGTGATGTTTTCGTGTCCGTACTGGACTGTTTAGTATAATCCGTGCTCACAGACACTAACGACTCACTCCCTCCAGTTACCGACTCCGTAGTTTCCATGTTTTCCTCTGCATCTCGCAAACGATGGCGTTTTTGGCGCCTTTTTCGTGTCCCATCAAAGGTGGGCGACATCATTTGACGGGGCGAAACACGTTGATTTTCGTGAACCGGTTTGGTCTTCATCCAGGAGTGGACCTGGCGGTCGATGTCCTTTTTCCATTGGTCAGTGTTGAGGTGGACACCGGTCTTTCCCCGTCCGGGCATGCCCATCGTGGATTTAGTGTTGCTATATCCGCCCAGCTCTTCGTTCAGAAAGGTCACCTGCCTGCAATACACACAAAGCAGTCAGAAACATATTTTCAAAAAGTCTTAAATGATCAACAAGTTGTCAGAAACAGGCAACAAAAAGATGCAGTGTAATACTCGCTAGTGTTAGCCCAAGTGAGAGTGTCACCTAGTTACAGTTACCCTTCCAGTTGTCATGGTACCCACCTCTCACTGATACGTTTCATGTGTAACGAGGACAACTGTTGGAAGTATTTCGGGAACTTTCGCTTTAGAAATAACACAAGGAGTTCAGCTCATAATTTGTAAATACTTCCAAAGAACTTATGTTATTGCAGATGTAATGTAACTGAACAATTGAACGCTATCAACATTTCCAAAATAAGACAAGGAATAAAATCTACTACCTGTATAATAACCTTACACAATTTGAAACTTTTTCGTCATGACACAAGGAGTAGAAGAGTCTCCCTAAATTTTATTTTGAAAATGTTTAATCAAATTAAATAAAGCTATTTTGAACTACGGTTAAGATGAATGTAAATTCAGTGATGCCATTCTTTGCGCATTATTTAAATAAATCCTAAATTTGAGTCCCGTTCTTGCATCTTTCAAAGTTTACCCTACAAAGTGCCTTATATAAAGCGCACAAGACTTCTGTTGCATTTCAAAATCACAAAAATCACACAACCCCTGGCTTCACTCCTGTAAAATATGACCTTATCAGTGCTTCCCTACTTCTGAAGCAAAACAATCAGTAACTGACGATTATTATTTATATCTGATAAACCAAAAAGGCTTACAATCACCATTTTACTTTAAGCAAGAAGATAATCACCCCAATGTGCATATGAATGAATAAATAAAGGGTGATATGTACATGACGTCTGTGCAAAGAGCATTAAAGGCAGACGTAAATAGGTGGGTCTTTATATCATTCTTGAATTTGGCCAGGGTGTTTGACTTTCTAATGGCAGATGGTAAGCTATTCCACAACGTGTCCGAACCCCTCCCAAAGCACCTGTTTCCATATGCAACACCATGCTTAATCGTCAACATATTGTTAGAGTCGATACAGCAAACTAACAACGGTATTAAAACAGTACTTCATATTGGTGGCCATTATAGTAATACGTGCTTGACCCTTGGGAGAGAAATGGTCCATTTGTCTGAGTTGTTATCGACATCCTTAGAGGTGACAGGTACCTGTGGTGTCACGGACACGGACAGTACCCGAGTCCACACCTGATTTGGTTAGTTACCGCTTGATCACAACAACACTGGTAGGTCCTGATAAGTCAACACCTTAATTAAATCTAAAAGTGATCGAACCTTACAGAAAACGACAGTCCTGGCTAGAACAGTTAGATAATGATAATTATAGAAAATTACTTTATTTACTAGCCTCTGTACCGAACACTTCTAAACAAAAAAAGTGTCAATGTTTTTTGAGTTGCTAGTCCACTTAACTTACACTTAGTCGTAGTGCTCACATGAACTAAAATAAAGGAAGCGTTGTGTTGAATCGAATTTTGTCAACACAACTAATATGATATAATACCAATCTTTCAAAAGTATGTTATTTTGTGATTTCAATTTAATGTTAACTGCAAAAAAAAAACATTCGAAAAATAAATCTAGGTAAGCATACATGGACTTTGCACCCTGTGTAATGTATCAAAGGCTAAATGTTTCACGATCGATATAATTATTTTCGAAATGACACATTTGTTATTGACAGCTTGCGAGTAGATAAATCGATAACGATTGCTCTTGACTTAAGTCTAACAGCAGAAAGCAATTAATTATCCTGCAACGTTAAACAATTATTTCTCTCTATACCTTGACAAGAAATAATAACTTCTCCCTATGTTTAGAGTCAAAATAATTACTTCTTCCTATCATATAACGTTAGCAAAATGTCTTCCCCTCTGCATATAACATAACATCTATATGGTTAAACATGGATTACTGATTTCTCCCTGTTCTACATCACTGAACAACGACTTTTATGTTTAGTGATGACCTTTTTCCTATCCCGTACTACAAATATTTTATAAACATACCATATATTGTTAATCATGGACGTTGTGGTATTATATACTGTCAAATAATTGTTCTTCCCTAACGCTTAAGATTTATATCGATCATATAACATTGAACAAGGGGTTCTCCCCGTCACAGAAAGCTTCACATATCGCTATAGATACCTATTTCTCCCTTCCATACAAAGATAGACGTAACCCAAAGGTGACTGCACCTTAAAAACTTTGTAACAGATTCAGTTTGCCAAAAATGAATTAAACTGCATCATACAACTGTTTCTTTATAATCTATACAATATCTTCCTACTACATCTGGTTATAATCTATATAAGATCTTCCTATTACATCATACAACTGTTTCTTTATAATATATATAAGATCTTCCTACTACATCATACATCTGTTTCTTTATAATCTATATAAGATCTTACTACTACATCATACAACTGTTTCTTTATAATATATATAAGATCTTACTACTACATTATACAACTGTTTCTTTATAATCTATATAAGGTCTTCCTACTACATCTGGTTATAATCTATATAAGATCTTACTACTACATCATACAACTGTTTCTTTATAATATATATAAGATCTTCCTACTACATCATACATCTGTTTCTTTATAATCTATATAAGATCTTACTACTACATCATACAACTGTTTCTTTATAATCTATACAATATCTTCCTACTACATCTGGTTATAATCTATATAAGATCTTCCTACTACATTATACATCTGTTTCTTTATAATCTATAGAAGATCTTCCTACTACATCTGGTTATAATCTATATAAGATCTCCCTACTACATCATACAACTGTTTCTTTATAATCTATTAGATCTTCCTACTATGTCATACAGCTGTTTCTTTATAATCTATTAGATCTTCCTACTATGTCATACAGCTGTTTCTTTATAATCTATATAAGATCTTACTACTACATCATACAACTGTTTCTTTATAATATATATAAGATCTTCCTACTACATCATACAGCTGTTTCTTTATAGTCTATATAAGATCTTCCTACTACATCTGGATATAATCTATATAAGATCTCCCTACTACATCATACAACTGTTTCTTTATAATCTATTAGATCTTCCTACTATGTCATACAGCTGTTTCTTTATAGTGTATATAAGATCTTCCTACTACATCTGGTTATTATCTATATAAGATCTTCCTACTACATCTGGATATAATCTATATAAGATCTCCCTACTACATCATACAACTGTTTCTTTATAATATATATAAGATCTTCCTACTACATCATACAGCTGTTTCTTTATAGTCTAGATAAGATCTTCCTACTACATCATACAGCTGTTTCTTTATAGTCTAGATAAGATCTTCCTACTACATCATACAGCTGTTTCTTTATAATCTATTTAGGATCTCCCTACTACATCTGGTTATTATCTATATAAGCTCTTCCTACTACATCTGGTTATAATCTATATAAGATCTTCCTATTACATCTGGTTATAATCTATATAAGATCTTCCTACTTCATCATACAGCTGTTTCTTTATAATCTATATAAGATCTTCCTACTACATCATACAGCTGTTTCTTTATAGTCTATATAAGATCTTCCTACTACATCATACAGCTGTCTCTTTATAGTCTATATAAGATCTTCCTACTACATCATACAACTGTTTCTTTATAATCTATTAGATCTTCCTACTATGTCATACAGCTGTTTCTTTATAGTCTATATAAGATCTTCCTACTACATCATACAACTGTTTCTTTATAATCTATTAGATCTTCCTACTATGTCATACAGCTGTTTCTTTATAATCTATATTAGATCTTCCTACCACATCTGGTTAACATTTAACTCCTTAATGAAGGTTTGCAAAAACCTTTTTTTTCACTGCAAAGTTAATGATGCAAAAATAATAATCCGTTTGTTTATTACGATAGGGGTTTCAACTAGAAAGGCATCTGGAATATAGCTCCAGGTACCAATGTCAAGGCAAGACCAAATATTTTGCTTTTTATGATAGCACATGGTTTCATGCTATTGGGATTTGAACTTAATTTTATCCTAAAATTTCAAGAATAATATGATACTGACAAACATAATACAATTGTTGACGAATTAGTTGCAGATAACGCATTGATAACACTCGTATGTAAGGCGCCGTTTTAGGTCCCCAGTTGTTAATCACATATAAATTTGAAAAAATCAGTGTTGACTTCCCCAAGGTGTTAGCTCACATCTTATAGACAAAATAGAATAAAGTATTCGTGAATATTTTATGGCACCTTCAAAAACAGCATGTCGACGCAACTAAAATATTGAAAAGCATATAGTACTCGCTATTATAGGCGTACAACACCGACATAGTCACGAGATACACTAGGTTCGTAAGACAGACCCGTAGTGGTGTCTATTGTTGATGTGTAAACATATTATATTTCTATATTTTTGGACACTGAAAGCTTATGATATTTTCATTTTCAAATAAAGATTGCAGTTGCAGTTATAAAAAAAATATCTGTTTGTAGCAAAAAATATAAGTGACTGAACATATTTCATTCATTTCAATGGAGAATACATATATTAAGGTACACATTTGGTACATACACACGAGTTAGTGAACCGTTTTCTCCAGTATTGTGTATAGAGTATAATTCTGACCAACACCAATGCTCTCACCACCAAGCAGCCCCTTTCCTGGTATATATATATAATTTGTCACATTAGTCGACACTGTAAACAATGATTACTAACCTTGAATCAGCGAAAGTCCTTTCCCTGAGAAATAGCGAGAATATTTATATAACTTTTACCTTGTCAATATAATAATGAACGCTTTCATGAACTTAGCTAGTTTTGACTTTAGAGTATAGGGTATTGCACACACTTATTGCGTCACAATGCGTTGTACACGCATGGAATATACCCGTATACGTCATGCGTCTTCATATTATTATACCGGAAACGGTGTAGTGATCTTCATATTATTATACCGAAAACGGTGTAGTCATCTTCATATTATTATACCGGAAACGGTGTAGTGATCCTCAACACTTCTCCCTTTGAATTCGTAAGTTGGTCAGCGTTAATGAAAATGAGTAAACATGCAGAGAAAACGTACGAAAAAGTGCCGTGTACTAAGAAACATCCTTCCACCACACCTGAATGTGACCAAAATTGAGTTATTTAAAACGTCAGACTTACCAAGTTGTGGCCCCCGTACGTAGCAATGATCATAATACAATCGAACACCAAGTCACAACCTAGCCTGGCGTTACCTGTCACTGAACTCAGCCCCGTATTGACTTTATCCAAAACTCGTTACATTGGACAAACAAGAAAGTTTGATTAAGAATCGACTAATTCTGGGTTATCGACGGGCAGAAAACCCGGATATCAGTGTGTGTAAGCTTGCTCGAGAAATTAACGGTCGAGTTGGAAGTCAAATGGCGAAATAATTATTTATCAGTACTAACGGAGGTGTGTACATTTTTAATAAAGAACGACGACCGAGCAAAGCAACCCCAGTCACCTACCTAGACAGTATGTTGTATACAGTATGGAAACCCGTACAGGGTAATATCAATAGTGGTAGACTCACTATAGAATTCCCACTTTGTAGACATGGCTTTGCGAGGACGATTATGACATGATTCAATACATAAGTATATGATAAAAAAGAAGTTACGCTTTGAGAAGGCCCTACTTGGAGTCTGCATGCGTCTAAGGCAAAAACTCTGGGCTGGGTAGCCTTCACGATTATGAGAGTTTGGCAACACCTCCCATTAAGCTACACACAGAATGTTCGCCACTGTGTGGAAGAAAATGGGTTCACTCCCCAGACCGTGACAATCCGAAATACTTAAACATTGTAGTTGTTTATTCCTGCATTTCGAATAATGGCAACAAATGCTTCAGCAGTTGCCAGTATACTGTGCCCGGGTGGAGGACCGTGCTGGGGGTCTTATGTATGATATTTTAGTGAAGAAGCACTCTAAATTCGGCACCAGATCGGTTCCTGCTGTCACAAGGGATGGACAACAGACCGCCTCCAGCACATACTGATTCTCTACACACATGGAGACACGACCTTAAAGGGCCATGGCTGTTAATGACGCTCAACAAAACTAACCGAACCGAACCTATTGACAGTGATGTGATCGTGTATGTCATATTGTAGGTAATTTCATCTTTTGGAGGAAGAAATGGGGTGCTAGTTGCAAGGGACATTAACTTTCCACTGGTCTACAGGAGGAATTGAGGTGCTAGTTGTAAGGGACATTAACTTTCAATTGGTCTACGGGAAGAATTGGGGTGCTAGTTGTAAGGGACGTTAACTTTCCACTGGTCTACGGGAAGAATTGAGGTGCTAGATGTAAGGGACATTAACTTTACACTGGTCTACGGGAAGAATTGGGGTGCTAGTTGTAAGGGACATTAACTTCCCACTGGTCTACGGGAAGAATTGGGGTGCTAGTTGTAAGGGACATTAACTTCCCACTGGTCTACGGGAAGAATTGGGGTGCTAGTTGTAAGGGACATTAACTTCCCACTGGTCTACGGGAAGAATTGGGGTGCTAGTTGTAAGGGACATTAACTTCCCACTGGTCTACGGGAAGAATTGGGGTGCTAGTTGTAAGGGACATTAACTTCCCACTGGTCTACGGGAAGAATTGGGGTGCTAGTTGTAAGGGACATTAACTTCCCACTGGTCTACGGGAAGAATTGGGGTGCTAGTTGTAAGGGACATTAACTTCCCACTGGTCTACGGGAAGAATTGGGGTGCTAGTTGTAAGGGACATTAACTTCCCACTGGTCTACGGGAAGAATTGGGGTGCTAGTTGTAAGGGACATTAACTTCCCACTGGTCTACGGGAAGAATTGGGGTGCTAGTTGTAAGGGACATTAACTTCCCACTGGTCTACGGGAAGAATTGGGGTGCTAGTTGTAAGGGACATTAACTTCCCACTGGTCTACGGGAAGAATTGGGGTGCTAGTTGTAAGGGACATTAACTTCCCACTGGTCTACGGGAAGAATTGGGGTGCTAGTTGTAAGGGACATTAACTTCCCACTGGTCTACGGGAAGAATTGGGGTGCTAGTTGTAAGGGACATTAACTTCCCACTGGTCTACGGGAAGAATTGGGGTGCTAGTTGTAAGGGACATTAACTTCCCACTGGTCTACGGGAAGAATTGGGGTGCTAGTTGTAAGGGACATTAACTTCCCACTGGTCTACGGGAAGAATTGGGGTGCTAGTTGTAAGGGACATTAACTTCCCACTGGTCTACGGGAAGAATTGGGGTGCTAGTTGTAAGGGACATTAACTTCCCACTGGTCTACGGGAAGAATTGGGGTGCTAGTTGTAAGGGACATTAACTTCCCACTGGTCTACGGGAAGAATTGGGGTGCTAGTTGTAAGGGACATTAACTTCCCACTGGTCTACGGGAAGAATTGGGGTGCTAGTTGTAAGGGACATTAACTTCCCACTGGTCTACGGGAAGAATTGGGGTGCTAGTTGTAAGGGACATTAACTTCCCACTGGTCTACGGGAAGAATTGGGGTGCTAGTTGTAAGGGACATTAACTTCCCACTGGTCTACGGGAAGAATTGGGGTGCTAGTTGTAAGGGACATTAACTTCCCACTGGTCTACGGGAAGAATTGGGGTGCTAGTTGTAAGGGACATTAACTTCCCACTGGTCTACGGGAAGAATTGGGGTGCTAGTTGTAAGGGACATTAACTTCCCACTGGTCTACGGGAAGAATTGAGGTGCTAGTTGTAAGGGACATTAACTTCCCACTGGTCTACGGGAAGAATTGAGGTGCTAGTTGTAAGGGACATTAACTTTCCACTGGTCTACGGGAAGAATTGAGGTGCTAGTTGTAAGGGACATTAACTTTCCACTGGTCTACGGGAAGAATTGAGGTGCTAGTTGTAAGGGACATTAACTTTCCACTGGTCTACGGGAAGAATTGAGGTGCTAGTTGTAAGGGACATTAACTTTCCACTGATCTACGGGAAGAATTGAGGTGCTAGTTGTAAGGGACATTAACTTTACACTGGTCTACGGGAAGAATTGAGGTGCTAGTTGTAAGGGACATTAACTTCCCACTGATCTACGGGAAGAATTGGGGTGCTAGGTGTAAGGGACATTAACTTCCCACTGGTCTACGGGAAGAATTGGGGTGCTAGATGTAAGGGACGTTAACTTTCCACTGGTCTACGGCCGGGTTCTGTCACTTCCTGTGCGGGTTTCCGTATTTTATGAGATAACAATCTCATTCTTTTCCGGTCATGTTTATTTCATTTTCATTGGTGTCACGTTACACAAAGCATGAGACCTATAAGGTAAAAACACCTCTATATTTTACGCAAGATCAATTGTCAAGATTTGTATTACCCTCAGTAGTCAATATCTGTGCTTTGTAGCCAGCATAGTTAGCTTAACATCATATTATTGTCACTTATATAACTGACAGTTTGATAATTATTTATTTTGAAACAAATTTTGCAGGTGTTCATATTACCATCACTTTAAAATACAAGAGAGGGAGACTTGTTTGTGTGGTAGTTTGCAAAACGGAGTGGAAAATAAATCATTTCTGTAAGCCATATTTAAAGCATACATTTAAAGGTTTTATAAAATCACCTTACGACCATGACATTAAACGCTATTTCACGCTATTTTATTACCTGGTGTTTTTAATAAAAAGCATTAGCTCTTTAAATACCCGAGATTTAATTAACTTTTATAATGCACACGGAACAGAACGGAGCAAAGTTTCAAAGTGAAGATCGCTCGTTAACAGATACTTGTCATGATATTAAAGTGTTCTGTTTACTACTGAGCAATGCTAAGTAAAGCATGTGGATCAAATGAGGCGACACATGTGGGACTACCTGCAGAAAACGTGGTTTACACCTGAATCTTCCTTTCGACCACAAAACACAGCAACAATTCATCTGCTGCCCCCTGTACCCTCTATCTCTTTAACCTAAGCTGGTTCGGTTTTACTAGCGCGTCTGGTGTTTGACCGTTGTCAGAGTAATAGGACCGGGTTAATTGTCATCCTGCAAAACCTCGAACAGGCATGGAATCCTGATGAACTTCAAGTTCAAAATAAATGCCCTCAGTTTTTCCGATGTCATGAGAATGCAAAATACAAAATTAAAAGCAATAGACTTATTTCAATATAGCAATAAATACTGCTGAATATGTATTATAGATATATGGCTATGGCCTGTCTGTCAGGAGACAATATGTATTATAGATATATGGCTATGGCCTGTCTGTCAGGAGACAATATGTATTATAGATATATGGCTATGGCCTGTCTGTCAGGAGACAATATGTATTATAGATATATGGCTATGGCCTGTCTGTCAGGAGACAATATGTATTATAGATATATGGCTATGGCCTGTCTGTCAGGAGACAATATGTATTATAGATATATGGCTATGGCCTGTCTGTCAGGAGACAATATGTATTATAGATATATGGCTATGGCCTGTCTGTCAGGAGACAATATGTATTATAGATATATGGCTATGGCCTGTCTGTCAGGAGACAATATGTATTATAGATATATGGCTATGGCCTGTCTGTCAGGAGACAATATGTATTATAGATATATGGCTATGGCCTGTCTGTCAGGAGACAATATGTATTATAGATATATGGCTATGGCCTGTCTGTCAGGAGACAATATGTATTATAGATATATGGCTATGGCCTGTCTGTCAGGAGACAATATGTATTATAGATATATGGCTA